TCCATATACAGCATCTACAGCTGACTTCTGTCTCCACACACACACACACACACACACACACACACACACACACACACACACACAGTTAAACAACAATGCTATCGAAAGTGCTTCACACCTGCTCATCATCTTTTTCGGCAATCCCCCCGCTGATACCACTTCCTTCCTCCCATGTTGCACCAGAAGTGGCTGATATTATCATTTCTAGTTCAAAGCCTTCTTGCTGTAAATTGCCTGTAAAGCCTACTCAGGTAACATTTATCTTACCCTTCTCGCCTCCACGGGGCTGCTGGATATTTGTTATTGAAAATACTGTGACAAGTTGAAAGGTGTGAAACTAGTGCTTCCGATCATGCCATCCCGCTTTGGTAGGCCCAGAAAATAAAGCAATCATAATTTGCGACTAAATATTATATATTGCCATATTGTTTTGATGATGATGACGGTTTAAGATGCATTAATCTGGATTAATAAGCAGATTACAGTACTTTGACTGAGTGTAGGTATTCTATTTGTTTTAATCAAGACTACCCACATGATATAGCATTAAAAAATTTTTTTAAATTAATCGCTTTTAACTTCATGCCTTTGGTGGGTACACAATATTTAACTGTTCCCCTTCCCAGTTGTAAATAGCTGATTAACTGCATCACTGATTGCAGGTCACAGCTTTTGCTAAATGCCCAGCTGCAGACTGTATACAGCTTATTTCTGTTCTGTTTATACAATATAAACCTCATTTTGTTTGTTGAGATTTGTTAAACCCTAAAATACCATCTGGGTCACTCCTGTCCCAAATAGCTTTATTTTTTTGTATTACAGCATTAAATATACTTTTGATGAATTTTACATGCCTAATTAAATGCGGTACAAAAGTCCTCATTTCAAAGGCAGCAATCTGCTCAATAACAGATCATCCTCGTTAAATTGTGTGCAACTCACAGAGTAAGTTATCAAAATATCAAGGTCACAGAGACCAGTTGCTATTCATTTTATTCTCTAATGTTAACTATGCATATTTAATATTCTGCAGCTTTGCTCTCCCTATGCATACACTATGCATAAAGGAAAAAACACCAACAGACATCATAAACATAAACCCTTGCTGTGTCTGCTCGCATCTCCCAATAGAGACCATGACGAATGGATTGATTTTTCCCTCAAAAAAGATTTTTGTAAACTAAGCTTCTTTTTCTGTGTAAGCTGCATGTAAGCAGTAGCAGACAGTCTTCATCTCTTCACACCTGCAGCCTTGAACTATTCCCAACAATGCCAATCTCATGTTTTCTATGTTTATGCATCTAGCAACCATTAAAATTCTCCATCTCCACCCTCATCTAAAACAAGATTTAAAAAAAACTATAGGGAAAAAAAGGAAGCATTTGACTGTGTCCTCCTTCCGCCGAGAAAAAAAACATCTAAACCACTTCTAAGAAAAGGCAAAGCTGGAGTACGACTCGCAAAGGCGCAAATAAAGATGGCTCATTTTTAGAAAAGCACTACGTTGTCATTACAAAGTCCATAGTGTTTAACATTTGCCACACCTCCCTCCGACCAAGAGTATGCATCAACCCATAAACTTTTAAACCCAGAAACCCACATTTGGAGCTACTGTTCAATTTTCTCACCAGTGGGGATGCAAATCGTGAGGATTCTTCACTACCTAAAAATAATGTTTTTGTTGACATGTTTTTAAAAAAAGCATGTAGTTCCAACCACTGGACTAACTACAAAACACGCCATGTACAGTAGTTGACAGAACCAGGCTTTTCATGGAACGATGAAGGGGAGGGAGGTTAAAAACTAGAAGAAATCTTTGATAGAGCACACTTAAGCATCATAGCCTAGAAGTCTATTTCACCCAGTAAACCATTTCGAGAACAAATACCACATGGAAATGTGACATTTGTTGTTTCGCTCGTCTATATTAGCCACATTTATCTACCACTTACATACTTCCTTTCATCCTTTGTCATTAGCTAGGTGAAAAAAGTGAAATACTCATGCTCACTCGTAACAACAATCCAGAAGGAAACTACAAACTCTCATTTAAAAGCTGCTGAGTCTACAGCTTTGCAGAGCGTCTGTTTTCGGTTTGTGTCCAGGCTGGTGCTCACCACACTTGGCAAGCAAAGAAAACCTCACTCCTGACCCTGGAGAGTAGTTAACTGCCTATCAAGTAAAAACAAGGAACTAATGTTAGCATTGTCAGCAAGGGAGGAAGGCCTTTTTTCTTAGGCATGTGACGTTTGAACTATAAAACACACAGCAAGGTGTTGCTATCGCCTCAGGACGATTCACACTCTGACAGCAGTTGCAGCCACCTCTGGTTGAAGTGCTGACAGGCAACCAGTTAGTACTCAAAGATGGGTTAGTCCCGTATTCTGGCTTAAGGACAGTGTCTTTGTTAGCTCCTCAAAATGCTGTCAAAGGATGACTTCCCTTTGAAACATTTAGTCATGAGCCCAATTAACAGGCTAGAAGGAATAACTACACATGTAATCAAGGAGTTTTTTGAGTCATGTGTGGGTTTTCCGTATTCATCAATGCCATTTTTCATTGCAACCCACTGCCTCCTCATTAGCTTTGTATGAATTCTGAAGATGACACTGAGCAATTTCAGAAGAACAGTCTTCCCTTGATTTTGCAGGGTAATTGCTTAAAAAAAAAAAAAAAAAACTAGGTCAAAAATTAAAGAGACTTTGAGAATTAGATCCAACTTTTACACCTGGTAAATTACCGTGCAAAGAGATCCTGATTTTTGGATTGGCTGTCAGAAAACAATCAGATACAAACAAAGTCCTCTAAAGTTGAAAAAGTAGGTCAGACACTGACAATCAACCTCTTGATTTAAACGTGAAATAACGAATCTGAAGTTGTCCTCCAGCCTTTCCGGAAGAGAATTTTAAAAAATGACTGTAACAGATATAAGTGAGTTATAAGTGATTTACAAGTGAGCACTTTTATACCAGCAATAATGTTGTTGAATTATACAATTCCTGATTGAAACCATCCATCCATTTTCTTCACTGTTTAAATCGCATGGCTGATTTAAATGGTCTCTACCTATCTACACTAAACTCAATTATGGATATTTCTAGAGGGTTAACAATCAAAAGCTTAAAGAACCTAGCCTTCTGATGGTTGCAATAGGTGGACATTGTCAGTTCACAAAGCAACATCACTTTGAATGTTTGCAATATTAACAGGTAAACTCAAAACGTTACAAATAATGTAAAGATTCACCGTTTAAGTAAAACAAACAGAGATCTAGCAACCAGCTTTTGCACCTGTAATCATAGAACCTAGGGTTACAGTAAGTAACCAATCCCACAAATCCATTCCTTTCGAATGTTTGCGAAATGATATCACAAAAGTGTAACATTACCTTGTCAATGCGATGGACACTACGCCAAAGTGGAAACAGAAAGGCTCAAAGACCCAAACAAACTAAAGTGGAAAAACAGCCGTGATATTTCTATCAGCACCAAGAGAGCAAAAAGCACCAGATTTTTTACATTAAATGAGTTAAGCTGTCTTGACACCAGTTCAAATGCACTCACAACTCTTTTTGAAAACTTTGCACTGAACCTTTGTCAGCTGCCACCCGCTTTTTTTTTGTTTGTTCAACCTTTCTTGTCACTCACTGCTTCGGAAAAAGCAGAAACATTACTTCAAAACACCATCCTTTATGAAAGAGCAGCGTGCCCCGGAGCGAGGAGGCAGCATTATGAAAGGGAACATGGCCCCTGGCTCTTCAGCTGAGGCCCGGGTCAGAGCAGAGAGCTAAAGTAGTAATTACTGAGAGACTGATTGCTGACAGGACCTTCCAACAGCCTGTGGTTAACTGGATGGAGCTGAGGGGGAGGAAGCATCAAATGCACAGGCCTGACAGATGCTCTGCTGATGACTCGTACTTCAGGGTGGTTCGGGGCATGCATGCCATTTTGCTTTATTCATTCTTCTTTTAAAAGTCACTGAAAAACAGAATATTTGAGCTTCTTCACTTTTGCTAGTTTTTGACATTTCTTTTGAGCCACAATGCAGAGATACAGATAAGGTGGGAGCAAATTAACTTAAATTATATGAATTCATTTTGTTAAAGAACTTTGTCATTGAACATCCTTACAAGCCCAGATCTGCCGTCAGAGGCAGTTACCTCCTCTGCGTTATTTAAAAACTTCCCCCCTGCTAATTTTTTAAGAGTAAATGCAATTTCTTCCAAATGGCAGATTTATTTTTGAAGTGAAACTCTTCAAAAAGCAAGAGACGAGTTCTCCTTAAACAGATCAGAGCCCACTTCACTGAGAGTGGGAGCAATGTGTGATTGTGGCAGGCAACACATTGCCACAACTGGTAGAGTGCACCATTTTCCAACCGGATTATGCCAGTTTCTTGCTCAGGGTGGTCATTTGAGAGCCCGTGGCTCATTCATCATGACCATATGGATGTTACAACCTGGTATTTTAGCCAACCAATTTATGCCATCAGTGCGCCTGGTTGATTTTGCTGCGGTGACGGAGATGGCTGTATTTACATTGGACAGAAGCGACCGTTTCACTGATTCACTGACTCTCAAATGCCTTTTGTGTGAATTTATTTGATTTCCACTGATTGTGTACGCTTGGACAGTGGAATAAGCATGTTTTGACATATGTTTTTATCAAATACTCTGTGGTCTCTTACAGATCTGCAGTGGCAACTAGCTCTGAAACATGAGACGGTAGCAACAATGCCCACATTACATGCAACCAAGCAAACAAAGGATGTGACTGGGTATTTGAATATCATTCTACTGTTCAAAAACATGGACAAGCTGACCAAAAATGTTTGAATGTGACCATTTCTGCCAATTTTGCAAACCAAAAACAAATTTCTTTCATTGAAGTGGAGCAAAATTGTGAGCTTGTCACGGTCAAACAGAGACTGGGTTTCATTAAACACATGCTGGTGTACTCTATGGGTCTGAGTCACTAAACCCAGCTGCCAAACTAACTTACCTCTGATGGTTTCTTGTGCTGGTGGCGGACCCATGTGCTGCTGGTGCCCGTATTCTTGGATGACCTGGACCACGACGTCACTTGACCTGCAGGAATAACAAAGACAGCAATGATACCACAGTCAGTGTAAGATCAGGAAACCAGTCTTTCTCTAACCGTTACATACTCAAACTCTTATTTCTGTAAAGTATGTGAATTCTTTTTAGAGTTTCTAGTTTCGCTCTTCTCCTCTGCTCTCAGTTTAACACCTTATCTCACCATGTGCTCTACTCCAGAGCCGAACGAAGTTAATTTGGGAAAAAAACAAACAAAAAACAAAGTTGCCATACTATTTTAGAACCTGAAATTACCAGAACTGGTTATAATGGAGGAGTTTAAGTCCCTTTCAAAGGAATGAAAAAATAGCACACTTGGCAAACACTCTTGAAACACATTTGGGCACCTTTTTGGGCGTTTATCTTGAAGCATTATCTAAACAGACTTTAGTTTCCACTTGCATCTATATAATCAGCAGTGAAATGTCATCAAAACGAGAGCGTGAGCTCATCCAGCTCACAACCCATCATAATTCCCAGGTTGTTGTAATGTGTGATGCACAGAAAGACGTTTTCTTCGAAAGCCCCAATCACACCTTCTCAATGTTATTGTCAATCAACAGAAGTACTTCCTCCATGAATATGATCAATAAAACCATAATCGTCACCATCGAACAGGATACAACAGGTGTAGCACAGTGATATTTCGAGCCACTGCATCATTTGATATTTCATCAAGTTTCTTTATCCTTTAGTGCAAAATGTATCAATACTGAATCTTATCTAATCTTTCTCTAAAATCACTGTCTTCTTCTTTCGACGGCTCACTTTAACGGTCTTCGGCTCCACCGCCTGTCTTTTTGTGTCACCGTCTCTGAACCACACATCATAGCAGGTCTCACTACCATCTTGTAAACCCTCCCTTTCACTCTTGCTCTTCTTCCTCCTTCTGTCACAAATCCCTCCTGACTCTCACATCCACCAACTCACTGCTGCCTGTACTCTCTTCTTCATCTTTCTCGTGCACTGTCCATTGCTTTGGATGGTTTACCCCAGCTCAACCCTCATCCACTGCATCTACTCCTTCTTCACTGACACACCTGTCTACCTCTTACTACTACTCTCACTACAGATCACAATGTCATGTGCAAACATCACAGTCCATGGAGATGTGTTAACCTGTCCATCACCACTACAAACAACAGAGTGCTCAGAGCCAATCCCTGATGTAATCCCATACCCACCTAATCATTCCAACAGCACACTGTCCTCATACATGTCCTGGACCACCCTCACATACTTCTCTGCTACTCCTGACTTCCTCATGCAGTACCACAGTATCTCTTGGCACTCCATCATATGCCTTTTCTAGATCCACAAAAACAGTGCAGCTCCTTCTGATCTTCTCAATCAACATTCTTTAACCAAACATCACATCTGTAATTCTCTTTCTCAGCACGAAGTCATACTGTTCACTGATCACCTCTCTCCTTAACCTACCTTCAACAGCTCTTTCCCATATCTTCATGCTATGATTCATCAGCTTTATCCCACTGCAGTCACAGCTCTGCACATCACTCTTGTCCTTTACAATCGGTACTAGCACCAACCTCTCACCTAGACCTCCATGTATGTCATCAGTTACGTCACTAGGACCGTCTATCCACTCTTTGTCCTCTTCATAGGTGCACTCACTTCTTCTTTACTGCACTTGCCCATTTATTAACGTTCCTCCATCTTTCCTCCTCTCTTTTGCTCTCTCTCTGATTTTCTTCATTTATCTTTGCACCCAAATAAGGTTTTAACTTTTTAAAAACCTTTTAAACTCCTACAACCATTCTTGCTGTAGCAGAATTCACCAGTAGATTTCAATTAAGGATTCAAAAGATGTCTTGAAAGGACTGCACAGAAAGTTGTTTGCAATTAATTGCATTTATTGCAATAAAAACATTCTAACAAGTGTTAATCTATCTCTCTAACAGAGAGAATGACATTCGTAAATGTATCTTTGAAATCTGCCCTCCTGGATGCCACAAAGGAGACAACCTACCGAAGAGCTGCAAACATCTTTTTCGCTACTCAGTGAAGTTTTCTGCTGAGGACCAGAGGAGAAAACATCAATTTTTTTTTTTTCTGGCAGACAAATTAGCCTTTTCTGACCTTCCTTTTCTGACTCACAGCTGGAAAGAAGGGAGTGTTTCAAGTCTTCATTCATCTGGATCAGAACACAAAGCCAACTTAATCTGCGTTTGATTTGTCAAGAATGTTTAATGAGTGTGAATGTTGATTTAAAGTGGGGAAAATGAGGAACAGGTCTCTGGCTGTAGATTGGACTTCGAGCGCACAGCGTGTGCTGAAATTCACGCCAAAGAAATTTTATGGAGAAATTTGTTTTGCAGAGAGGGTTTACAATAAAACGATAATACTTTTTTGTTGTTTCTTTAAACACTGTTAGCCAGCACCAACCGGCGGGGAATCGGTTACTTATTAGAGAGCAAGAAGCTGCTCATCAAAGGTTCTTAAAATGAGCATGCGATGGGGTTCAATACTTTTGTAATTCACACCAGTGGAAGTGATTCAAACGCAGCAGAGAAGCATTTAAAGAAAGCAGCCAAACAAAAACCTTCTTTGTGACTTTGAACGCCCGTGGCAGCACTACCACTATGAGTCAGACCTTTAATTGAAGCAGACTGATGATGATCTATTAAAAGCTTTAATAAGTAATGGCCGCATAAATAGCATCTTGTTAAGCGGTTAGTCCACTGTGGTCCTTTACAACCTTATTAATACACAACCTAATTGCAATTAACCAGACACCGGAGCCAATATCCCACCCACCGCTTCAATCAACAGCTGTGTGTGTGTGTGCGCGCACCTCTTTCCAAGTGTGCCTGTACATGTTTGTGAATGGAGGCCAAACCGATTGAGGAAAAGATGCCCCTTATGCGGTTTCCTAAATTTAAAATAAATAAACCCCAAATCCTCCTGCGACACTTTTCTCGTGTGACCATAAGAAACTGTCACTAAAAATTGGATCGAATCTGCAATTAAATTATATCACACGCATAATGGATAAAACATAAAATCGACACAACATTCTGCGATTTAACATCTGCGACCGTGACTTTATGCGAGTGTGCATGCGTGCGCTGCCTCCCACTCAACATATTTCGCTTTCCACAACAGCAGTGCTGCCACCCCGCTAATGTTGCTCATGACGTCTGAGGAGCAAACTGCGCTGAGAGCCTCTCTTCAAAAATCACCAACACTACACACACACACACAAAAAGACATACTGTATTGGAAGCCACTAACACATCAATGTTCCTACATTTTTTCACCATACACAGTTTGCCTACATTGTCAGTCATTACAGCACACACACAGACATATTTGTGTGTGATCTTTTCCTCTTTAACGGTCCGCTCTACTTACAGATTGACACACTACAATAATACAAACAAAACAGAGAAAACACCAATAATTATATGACCTCCCCCAAACAAGCGCTTTGGCGACAGTGGGAAAGAAAAAACCCTTTTTTAACAAGAAGAAACCTTCAGCAGAACCAACCTCAGGCAGGGAGGGGCATCGGCCGTGACCGGTTGGAGTGAGGGCATCTCAGAGGAAAAAGTGCAAACAGAAGTTGCACTGAAAGTGGTCCAGAGATGCAAGATAAGGAGCACTTCAAGGGAACGTCAACAATATTCAAAATCAGCTCATACAAACTTGATTTAGACATAACGCAGTCCCAGAACGTCTTTATTTTTGGCCTTTCCGGCTTTATTTGTTTTGCTTAAGGAATAGACAAGAAAGAGGGAGAAAGACCAGGGTAGGTAGTAAAGGGACAGTCGGGCCCTTTGGATTTCAGCAATAAGGTATTTGGGTGCTTGCTGGACAAACGAGCTAGAGTGACTGCCAGAACTTCTTGACTGCACCTTCAAATATGAATCCTTCTGTTTCTTTTCTAAGCTGTAGGCCAGCAGTCCCCAACCTTTTTTGCACCACGGACCGGTTTATGTCCGACAATATTTCCACGGACTGGCCTTTAAGGTGTTGCGGATAAATATAACAAAATAACACCAGTACCGATACCAAAAAAAGAGGAGATTTATTCATAACACAAGGGAAAATACCTGGGGAAAAGGAGTTAACAATAAAAACAATTTTAAAAATTACAATAAAAACCCTGAAAACCATAAATTTTACACCCGAGCCTCAACTCTCACGGCCCGGTACCAAACAGCAGGGGTTGGGGACCGCTGGCGTAGATTCACAGTGTGCTTACCTTACAGGCTGATATAGGACACAGTGTGTGGTGCTGTATGTATATACAGTATCTGTGTCAGACAGAACCAGCCTTCATTCTTCAAAGTTAAACCGGGCAGTTAGATCCTAGAACGGCCAAGAATCTGTTATTAGTTTTTTAATCATACATCTCAGTCGCAACATCGTTTGACACCTACACAGCAGCAGCCTCCACCGCAAGCATCAAAAAAGCCAAACAGCTTCCAGAAGTCCGATGATGAATGACACCTCACTCAGACACCGCTGATTTTCTTGTCCACCATTCTCTGTTTAGGACTGTGTTCCATGCGTGTAAGCGTCGAGGGTATAAAAACAGACTGCACACTAATCTGTTAAGGATTTTTTACATTTACTCATGAATCTGCACTCCTCAAGAATGTGTGTGTCCAGGCAGGTTACATCAACACGTGCCCAACATAGTGCAGCTGCAGAGCTCAATCACTGTGGCCAGATAACCAAAACAGGCCGCGGCGCAGTTGGAAGTTACCATCGTGGCCGTGTGTTAATTAAAAGCCACGCTGGATGCACAGCAGCCAAAATTATCATGGGCATCCTTCAATTAGAAACCTGATAACCTCCAGTGAGCAGATGCAGCTGGAGCCCACACTGCAGTGAGCAGGGGAAGCTAACAGCTAAAGGCTGATTATAAAGCAAAGTGCATGGCCTCCAACGCGGGGTGGCTCGGTCAGGTCTGCAAAACAGCCTGTTAAACCTGTTGTAAAATGCATTATACACGCGGGGCTGTGACCACACAACAGTTAAGCCCTTCAGAGGTCATTTTAGCCTGTAGTGTAAACAGTTTGAATGACTACATTTCCCAGATTTAATCCGGCTGCAGATCCCCACTGATCAGCCACGACTATACTACCTGTCTAATATTGTGTACGGCTACGCCTCGTGCTGCCAAAACATCCTGGACGCCTCGATGCATGGGCATAACACATCTTGGGTGTCCTGTGGCGTCTACCGCTGTGAAGTTGGCAGCAGTTTCTTTGGGTCCTGTGGGTTGTGGGTGGGGCATCCAGGGATCGGGCCTGTTCCGGTGCATCTGGCAGATGTTCAGAATTTGGAATTTAAAGGCTGCAACCAGGCTCTTTGTTGTGCTCCTCAAGACATTCCTGACGCCCGCTGTCTTGCTGTGGCGAAGGCCCCTGTCATCGAGGAGTTCCACTGCAATGTTTGGTCAGCAGCAGTATTTAAATTGGCGGTATGTGTGAAAGAACATTTGCATGAATTCCACAGTCCAAGATTTCTCAGCACACTGGAGCTCAATGAGAAGGTATTAAAAGTACTGACAATTCTTCCTGATCAGATCCCTGCTTAAGCTTCTAGAGTAATGTCAGTGCTTCTCTTTATCTAATCTCTTCTATCACTACAGTTCCATTTATATTAAGCTGAAATACCAAACTGGATTTAATTCCAGAAAAAGATTGTCACAAATGAAAATATTTTGCTCTGGCGTACACACAAATGTACCACAAGATGGGTGAGAATACTTTTATCATTATAGTTTTCAAGGCACCACGCTGTGAAAGGATAACTCGTTTATTTATACTCATTTAGACAAGCATTAAAATAATATCTGAAAACCTCATTAGCGCAGCCGGGTTTAGCGACACCAAAACAAATGCCAGGTTCTGTTGTTTTTTTTTAATTGTACAGCTCGCTTTCTGATGTGTCTAATTTTGATCTGTTCTCTAATATTGCCAAGGGAATAGCCAAACAAATATATTTGCTTACTGCAAAAATGCGTGCCGCGAAAATGCCAAGAATTAGTCACACTGAACTGACAAAAGCCGAGAAGAATGACATTTAAAATGAAATTGAAATCGCTGGCTGTCTTCAGTGAATAAACCCTCGTATTTTAAAGACAGTCATCAGCTGTTGTGGCCATTTGTGCTTGTATAACAACGTATTTCATTCGAAGACTGTTAAAAGATTCATTTCTCTACAGAAGCTGCCAGTGTCAGACATGCGGTAGTCTGGCCAGATGTTCCTATCCTCTCGTCTTAGAGGATTGCCTGTCTGCTCGTCTTAGAAGTTGTTTGAGTTTGTGTCATTAACTCTGGGAGGAAAACATATCTGCCACTCCGTCAAACCATGCATCCCACCCTGTAATATCAATTTGTCACTCAGCTAATTAACTATGTGCTCAACATTAAATGTAAAGCACACAAGGCCAGACATAACTGCACAGTGCAAATGTGACATGTCCGCTTTATTGACTTTGAGTCTGCATGTATTAAGAACCTTATTTAGTAAAGTGGGGAGCTCAAACACATCCAGAACTGACATCCAGACATGCCCTGCAAGCAAAAGACGGCTTTGTCTGAGATATCTAAGTCCAGATATTAATAAAGAACCAAACCTGATGCACGCCAAAACATTGTGAGCTGAATCTACTTTTTCGGTGGTGATAAAGAGATGCCAACCTCAGCAGAGGTTGGCGAAGGCGTGAGAATTGACGCGATAATGCAGCTTCTGAAAAGAAAAAAAAAAGAGCGTGGTTGCAGTTTGTGGTGTGTTTACTGACATAGTTCATCAAGTTCAACTGCACTCAAACGCAACTTCCAACTTTGTTTTTAATAATTCGTATCGTAATCATGCAGCATCAACTCGATTTCCCCGGAGAGATCAGGGTTTATCTGGATCTGCACATCTTCTCTTTACTTTAACAAAGTATTACAAGACTTAAATACACAGACCTTTGTACCAGTTACAGAAATTGGAAAACACACAAGGGACTGTACAATATACAGTCAAGTACAGATCTTAGCTCCACTGAAATGTTGTGGGTGGACCTGAAACTGATGATACGTGCAAGAAAACCCTCAAGGTTTTGCAAATAATGGAACTTTGCATGGGAAGAATGGTTAAAATGTCACACGCAGGGGGACATCCATCTATCTTCCTAACTTCTTATCCGATTCAAGGTCGTGGGGGCTGGAGACTATCCTAGCTGTCATGAGGCGAAAGGTCAGATACACCCTGGAGGGGTAATCCAGTGCCCCTTTATGGCCCAGCCAGAGAGACAGATAACAAGTCATACGGTCAAAGCAATCTCCAGTTAAGCTAAAACACAAGGCTTTGGACTTTGGGAGAATACCCAGAGAGAATCCACGCAAGCACACGGACAACATGCCCCACGCAGAGGGGTCCTAGCCGACTAAAGGATTTAAACCAGTGTGAGGGAACGGTGATAACCACTGGATCAACATGCAATTATACAAAACACCTACAAGAAGGTTTTTCTGTTAAAAGGGACAAGACGAGCCTCCGAGACCCCCAAGTCGTACTTACTACACAGATGGCTGTTTTGTGTTGCATAAACTGAAAAAGATGGCTTTCCTTGTGGTATTGCCCAAGTAAACCACCTGTATTTGCAGGCTCCGTTTCAAAATGCCTCAAATTTTGCAATCTGCTCGTCCAGTAATGATGCACCACAATCTGTTTTCGTAGCAACATCTCTCTCAAAGAACGACATTTTCCGACAAATTCGCACTTATTCTAAAAATAAAGACTTTATTCTTCAAACCTTAAGTTCTTATTCCCACCGGTGATTTCTGTTATGCTAACTGGTTAAACCGCGCTCATGTTTCCAGTGTAGCTCGGTTTTAAAATGGCACGTCTTAATGAGCAGAGGGAGGACAACCATGAGACAGGAGGAAAGTCTATATGGAGAGTGAATACGAGAATTGGGAATTGACGAAGACCAGGCAGCTCACCGTATAAAAGCAGCAGAGGAACTCGCTTTTCTCACACTTTCAGGATTCCATCGTCACACACACACACACACACACACACACACA